TTGCTGTAAGTTATCGTTGGATAGTATAGGTGGATTGCTGCTCTTTCTGGAGTGCTTGTTATGACTATGATCATGCATTAGTACGACCCGCATATATCTGCATCTTATTGGTTGCAGAAGATAGGTAACAGTTAAGCATACGCATGCCCAATTAGAAAATGAAAATATCAAGTACGTGTCTAAAGAAAAGATAAGTAAGTTTTAATTTGAACGTGACAGCAATGCTCTTTTTGAGGAAATCTGGCGTGTTGTTGTCTGCTGTAGAAACAACGGTAAAAACAGTAACCTACACCCGAAGGTTAGTGAACGTCATCGGGACTGGTTGACGTGAGAAGACTGATTCCAGTTGGTTGTGACCATAACGAGGAGCGAAGGCAGCTGAAACGTAAATTAACTAAGTCTTTGCAAACACCCCTGAAAAGTGGAAGGTGGCAAAAGGGAGAGAGATGGGGAAGGCATCAACATTAGGTAATACCCGGCAATATTTTGGCCTATGAAAAGTACTGACAAATGGAAGAGTGTGTTGAATGAGACCATTATCGGAGAACGATGGGACTCTGATAACCTCTCAGGACAAGTGGCTAGGACGTTGAGTAGAACATTTTGAAGTACAGTCCATTCGATCTACAGCAGCACTTCAGTCGCCCAGCATCCAGCTTGAACGTGGATGTTGACCCTCCAACCCTTCTCGAAGTTAAGAGAGCTGTCTCAAACTTGAAATTGTGCGAAGCTAAAGGACCTGACGGTTCGACCCTCCCAATTTCCTAAGGAAGAAGGCAGAAAGTTGCTGACTGGAGTAACAGGGGTAGTACGTATCGTATGATAATCAAAGGCAGTTCCGTCAGATTGGTTTACTCTAATGACCTTTGGAGTCTATAATAAGAAAAATCTTGTGACAGCCATAGGAGATACAGCTTGACTAATATCGTAGCTCATAGTTATCGGACGCTTAAGTGGAGCTCGAGAACAGCAAACTAAGGAGAAACCAGGCAGGTTCCAAACCCCGATGAGGGTGCATCAATTAGGTCTTCACTTCACCCTTCTACAGGTTTTGGAACACAGGCATACTTATCGGTGGCCTAAACTTGCCATAGTTCTTGACCCGAAAAGGGGCATTTGACTCTATCAACCGAGAAATGTTGTTGCAGTATCCGACTGTGAAACAAGCACCGAGAAAATATGTAACGCTAATCAGAACACTACTGGAACTCACGCAACCGTGAAAGGGCTTCTGGCGAATCGTTATCTCAGTTAACGACAGAAAGTAGTGTTCGTCAGGGATGTCCGTTGTCACTTCCTGTTCAACTTCGTAATAGATGTATTCATGGACATAACCCTTGGTAAGTCTGACTTCATAGGGATTGATCTACTTTCTGGAGGGCTTGTGGTTGAATTGGAGTATACGGAAGGTATTGTAGTATTGGATGAGGTCTCTGACGAAATGCAAATTCTTCTGGACACGTTTAGCAGGAATCTGGGTTTATTTGGCATGCATTTCGCCTCTGTCAAATGTAATATATTTTGGGGCTGATCTTCAGTGTGTCCCAATTTAATGATGGCGAGTGAAGTGATTGAATATGCTGACCACCTTACGTATTGGATGATTGCAAACACAATCTCAACTCGACTACAGAAGACTGGTTTGGCATTGGCCAACTTTCCAGCTTCTCGTCTCTAGCACTGGTTAGTGAAATAACCGACTACCTAATAAAGGACCAGTGTACTGCATTTTATTTGTATGTTCCTGATGTAGTATTTTAAAAGTCGAAAAGTAAAAAAATATGTAGTCAAAGTATATGCATGCATTTCGGATTTTAATTAGGCTCTCATTATTGTATTTTTGGTCCAACTACTTATTTATTCTACTTATATTCTGTGACGAGCTAGAAGACTATATATCTGTTATGAAGGCAATAGTCGATTGTACGTGAATAATAATAGAGTAATTGTTGTCTGGAAGGTTGTACGTGAATATGATATTGCGTGGTATGACGCATTTAAATGAAAGTACAAACCATAATAACCAATAGTCCACTTGTATTGCTACCATACACCTCGAAATTCAAGCATCAAAATGGATAGCTCGTTTCCCGAGGATATTGAGTTCACTGTTTAGGGACTCATGCAGCGATTGTTAAGATTTGCAATTTTTATTAATCCCTATCTTAACCCTTATTTTTTGACACTATCAAAAAATTACAGGGCAATCTTGTACGTTATTCATCACTCCAGCGACTTCTGAATTTGTCAATTAGGGGATAAAACCGTTGTGTTGATGAACCTCCTCATTTATTCTCTCCTACCAACAAAGTCACCTTGTTTTTTCTTTATCGATTCACATTTTTCCTCATTTAAATTTCTCCTTCTAGGCTATTGCGAAATATGCCAACTTCAACTGAAATAGCTATGTGGTGTTCTGTGTTTGCCTGATAGGTGTTTGATGAGAATACCCAACAAATTATCCCAGTTTGTGTCCGAAATCTTTCGAACAATAGTAATTTGAATCATACGTATATAACTATACATCTTGGACTATAACTTCAAAATTGTGCGATTTCAGTTAGTATCGGTGACTTTCATATACACTTCAATAGTAGGTGTAATTATATTCGAAGAGAGTCCGATTATATTTTGTTCAGAAAAGGAAACTTTTCATCCATGGTTTGAAACCCATTCCATGTAGTTCAATCTGAGCGACCGAGCAGTATCATAAGCTCTCCTATAATAGATGTCTCATAGCGCAATGCAAAACAATATACTAGAATGAGTTGCACGTGCTCATTAGTTGCCATTCAAGTTATCAGGATTACACAGCTTGACCTACACTGATTGTTTAAACGTCTGCAGTACCATGCTCTTCTTATTATTCATTATTATTATCGTCAATGGGATAAATACTAAAAATTTTACTGTCACTATGACTATGATTATCTGGGTGTTTAATACTTGCATATTTCATTACTTTGTTACCACAGACTGAAGAGTTCATCAAGATTGGTTTGATGTTTTACACATAAGAATTATGTATATTGCAGTAAAGCCTGATGAGAACTAATGGAAACCAATATTGTTTGTTTGCATGTCTTTTAATTTTGACAATGGGAATTTTTAACATTCGCCTTATTAACTACTAAAGTCCTATCAGTTTTGATTTTCTCAAATCATTACTTCATTCTTGGATTACCTTAGACTTCATCAGTGGCCATGAAAGTGGTAATCATTTGTGCTAATAAATGGTTGCATTTTCGAGTTTCAGCAATGAATTAAAGGCCGTTAGTCATCAGCATCAAGATCAACATAGAACCAGACATTACTGTGTAACGGTCCAAGTTGCCACATCTCATATCAGCGCATGAAGTAGCAAGGCAATAAAAGGGAAAGATTAAGAAGGAAAAAATCTATCAAAAGAAGTAGAAAGTAGTGAAAGGGAGGAAGGACGAATGAGACGATAAGATTAAATAAAGCGGTTAAGATAAGGATGATGTGTGTATAAATCTGTACCAGTGACATCGGTTCTGAGCCATATCACCTAGCGTCTCCAAACACCAGTTTCTCTCGTTCTGGAGACCCCAGTCATCTAGTCTGCATCGCCCCACATGGCTCAAGCCAGCAGTCAAAGACTTCATGCATTGATGCCATGTTTTAGTCTAACCGCCCCTTTCCCTTTTCTAGCCTGAACTTATTTCAGCCAACATTGTACGGGGAGACAGATGGTGGATAGGCATACGTAACACGTGTTCCAGCCGCTTCAGTCGATGAAGGTTAACAACCGCATCAACTGTCTTACTTCTCCTGCCTAAACCTCTTCGTCTAACCTTTGCGTTGCTAACGTGCTGACACCACAAAACACGGCATCGGTGATCAGGCACCTAAAGTCTCTTCATGTTTTCTACTTTTAATAGCCATGTTTCACAGCCATGCAGTAGAACAGAGCAAACTGCGGCACAGTACACTCGAAGCCCAATAAACAGTCGGATATCGCGGCGGTGCCACAGATGGCGTAAGTTGACAAAAGCCAACCGAGACGTTTGTATACCTGCAGAGATTTGGTCGACAGGTGGCCGACTGGGCCACTAGGGCTGATCCGACTTTCCAGGTAAATGAAGTGTTCAACACACCCAAGCAATTCACTCTCTTTTGTTAACCAAGAGACCGCTGGAAAAGACCAGTCTTGGAGCAACAATTCGCATTTAGGCGGCAAGAAAAGCATCCCAAACATTCAAATTGTTACTCAAAATGTTCAGAAGACTGCATCTTGTCAGCGTCTTCACTTAACAGAACTGTATCATCTGCGCATTCTATGTCTACTGAAAATTATCCTGTGATCAGGTCAACCCCTGTGTGGTCAGATAAAGAGAGGGAGACCTCCATAAGAACGTTTATGATAAAATTGAATAAGAATGGAGAGAGTGGGTATCCTTGACGGACATCACTGGACATACACAACTCACCCGACATCTCACCGTATGCTCTAACATACCCATAAGCGTTTGAGTAAAGTCTTCAACAAAATGATGTGCTTAATCGGTACCTTTTTAGTGAGAGACATTGCCATAAAACTTCTCGGTCGACGGAGTCGAATGCCACCTACAGATTGAGAAATGCAGTTATTGTCGGGCGTTGGTGAGCGTGCATGTATTCCAGAACCTGGCGAAGTGTAAATACTCGGTTGATGCACCCACGGCTAGGTCTGAAATGTGCCTAGTTTTCTCGTGCTTGTTTTTCCCGAACTCCACCTAGGTGTCTAGTGATTATAGAACCTATAATCCTAGACACTATATTCGTTAGGCTGACTCCTCTGTGGTTATCACGAGAGGACTTCTCGCCTCTCTTGAAGACCAGTCGGAGGGGATCATATCTGACTCTCATACATTAGTTGATACGGCCAGACTTCATCTGATTGATTGTGAATTAGTCTGTTTGAAAATATGCGGTTTTCAAAATATTTACCTAGAATATTTTATTTTTACATCAAATCTCGTTTGTGTTTCCTGTTTTAGGGTTCCGAATTTCCTCTATGTAGTGTCTCTAAGTTTCTCTTTCGCTTGTTGGAGTTAAATTTCCCAAGTGAACATGATCGCAATGCGTTTTCTCCCTGGGGAGAAAACAGTTAACACAAAGCCGATAGCTGATGGAATCTTGACGGTTACAAACTATCGACTTATGTTTTCCACCAAAAGCCCTCAGAGTTCGTGGAGTATTCCCACTACATTAGTATGGAAAGCTGAGGCATTTGAAATGATTCATATAAAAATCATAACAAAAATTGGCATATCTGTTACGTAAGTTCCGTGTCCTATTATTGATTCCTCATAACATTTAGCTGGTCGTTTATGGATGAAATTGCATGTGATGCCGGATACAATCATATTATGTCACTAATTGATGTACCAAAAGATATCGATTCTTTGTTTGCCTGTAAATTTCGTTCATCTTTGGAAGCTAACATTCCAAGCCATCCTTTCCTTCTAAGTAAGTGTGATTTCTTTTCTTATGTTTACCTTCATCTAATTATAGGTGCCTGTGAACTGTTGCAGATCAATGGTTAGTTTGCTTGAAATCATCTTTGATATGTTACTTTTGCCTGTGCAGATGTAGACAGTGCATTAGATACGGCATTAGTGTGTTTTGAATTTCGTCGTATGAATTTTGATGAGGCATGGAAAATAACAGATATTAACAATGAGTTCAGGTACTTTTCAATATTCCATTCTCTCTAAGATTTATGCTTTAGGATTTGTTCTACATATCCTAGACATCATATTGTGCCTCGGTCTATCAGTGACAATGATATAATTAATATGGCGAGTTTTCGAAGCCACAATCGATTTTTAACAGTTGTTTGGCGGTAATTTATCCAAACTCGTATAAGTATGCATTCTTTTTAGTTCTCAAGTCACTGGAGCTGTCTTACTTCGTTGTGCTCAACCATGTGTGGGATTAATGTGCTCAAGAAACGAATATGATGAAAAATTCTTACGAACTGTCCTCTCTTGTTGTCCAAAAAAACCCGTTGCAAATCCTAACAAAGGTTTGTATGTATATGAATGCACTTTATTTTGAACGATGATATTATATCATAGTTTCCCAACACCTACTGCTTTACATTTCAGTGGTTCAGTTACTAATCGTTGGGGTTATGAATTCGAATCCGCTCCGGCTAATTCAACCCGTGCAATGATAGTTCAGTTTCTAGTATGCAAACCAGGTTTCTGAGTTAATTTATTCGTTCTGTATGCTTCATCTCGTACAATAGTGTTGAACTACCTTAGAGATTAAAATCGAAACTATGGCAGTAGAGCTCTTACTAATTCTTTGCTTTCCATAAGTTTAGCGTATGAATAATTTGAATGAGATTTGAGATGCTTATGCAATGCTTATAGTTCTGTTATTATTATTATTCCCTTGGGTTCCTAGTGGAACATGAGGTTTCAGTAGCACGCCTCCATTTCACTCTGTTCTCTGCAATCTTTTGAACCTGACTCTACCACTGCCCACAAGCTTTCATTTCTTCCTCACATGACCTCCTCTATGTCACCCTCTCCTCGGACGCCCAACTCGTCGTTTCCCCCTTGGATTCCACTCGAGGACCTGGCCTGGCACGTGATGTCCCCACTCGGCCTTCTCAGTGTATGCCCAATCCATCTCCACTTTCTTCTGCATATTTGTTGGGTGATTGGCTGTTGGTTGGTTTGTTGCCAGTTCAGAGCTCCTTGTTGCTTATTTTTTATGACCATCTGGTCTTCAGTGTCGAGTGATCGTAGGCGTCAGCTTTTGGTGAATGTCTGTAGTTTGTTGAAAGTGCTTTTCATGACGCGCCAAGTTTCTGAACCACCACACAGAAGCACTGACTTGACTGAATTAGTGTTGAAAATCCGGGTCTTGTTCACGCTTTATACTGAGTGAAGTAGATCTCCACACTGATTTCAGATTAATGAAGTAAGGTTTATCTTGCTGTCTTTCCGATCCTGGTTTTGACATCCTCATCTGTGCCGCCGCCGCCGCTTATAGTTGGAACGATGCTGTCCTGCCTAGGTAGGCGAAAGAGACTACTTCCTCTAGGTTTCTCCCGTTGGTGGTGGTTGGTGCTCCTTGTTGATCCTGTTGTTGGTTAGGTATCTTCATCACCTCCATCTTCTCTACATTCACTTGAAGTCCCGTTTTCGCTGCCTCGTCTCTTCTGTCAACTTGTTGATTTTCGCCTGTAGAACTTCGAGTTTGTGCCACAAGACATTGGATACAAATCGTCATCTTGGAAATCCAAATCTTCTAGGCTGTTTTCATCGGTCCATCCAGCATATGCCTATCTTCTCGTTCCTCATGGTTTGCTGCATGATCCAGTCCACCACAATCAGGAGGATCATGGATGATAGTAGGTGGCAACCTTGTCTTACTCCTGTCTTCACTTCAAAGGCGTCACTGAGCTTTCCATTGTCTATCGAGGATGATAAGGTTTAATATTTTGCTTGGCGTGGACAGTAGCACAATTCCTCACCAGTTCTTGCAAGAACTTAGGTCTCCCTTTCTTGGGAGTTTGACAAGGTAGCCCTTCTTCCAATCAGTGGGCAGGTGCCTTTCCTTCCTTACTTGCAAACCTTCTGCAGTAGTGATGTGAGCATGTCCGCTGTTGTCTCTGCGTCTGTTTTCGGCACTTCCGAAGGAATTCCATCCAGTCCTGCTGCTTTCTCGGATTTCAGCAGCTTTATGGCGTCCAGGACTTCACTTCTGCTTTTATCGGAGGGCTTGTGTTCACTTATAATTCTGTGGTTGCTGGTGGTATTTCCGGTGGTCGTGGCGGTGGTCGATTCAAGAGTTTTTTGAAGTGGTCAGCTCCATTGTTTCCTTTGTTTCCCCTTTTTAAAACTAGCTTTCCTTCACTATCTTTCATTGTTTTCGTCTGCGTTGATCCCTTCCTTCCCAGATAGTAACCTGGTTATTTGAAATATATAATGTTGTCAGGTCTCTACTACCAGCAGCCTGTTCTGCTTCACTTGCCAATGTGTCGTAGTAGTGTCCTTTGTCTTTGCGCTCACCGTTCTTCACTTCTTTTTCCAGTGTTTTCTAGGTTGTACTCAGTGCTTCTTTTCGTTGTTCATCCTTGCACTGGTTCATCAGCTTTTTCAGTGGTCAAGCTATAAACTCTTGACGGTTTGTAAGCTAACTACTAAAAATTTAGACTCTGGCATTTATTCTTACGCTAGGCAACTATAGTATCGAAAGAGCAAATTGAGAACTTATTGAGGTGACATATGAAGATTCCTTAACTGACTAAAGCTCGTCAAACAAGACATTCATGTTTTTCCATCAACTATGTAGGAGGTTGGTTTAGTGCTGGCTTTATAGTGTGTCGTGATAGGTTTTTATATGACAATTTCGAATGAAGGTATGCATGGTTTAGATGGCAACCTGACTAAAAGTTTAGTAAAGTTTTGCTATAATGGTGATTTCAACCAGTAATCGCTAGTGTGTAATAGCGATGCTTTTTTCTATTTAACGCGTCACTCATTTTAAACAGATGCTGTATTACTAACCATCTATAAAGATCTATCACCTAAAAAATTTCCGGTCAGTAATTCTTCTTGTCAATTTATTCACTAACCTCATTTATATCAACCTTTTTCTCTAGGTTTTACATTTCCATGCACAAAAGCAGTAGCTATTAACACATTTTGTATTTTTTGATAAATTATCTTACATTAAATATTTTTTTAGTTGGAAATATGAGGCAGGTTATTCTTAGGTAAATGGAGGGGTTTTTGATGAGTGCTCAGTCATAAACAATAAATGATTGCGTAATAGGAAAACATATGGATATTGACAGGAACAAGAAGGGGAGGAGGTGTGCAAAGTAATACTAGAAGTTACATCATGTTGATGACCATGGTAATGAAGTTGGTTGAACACACTTCTTTTGAACACAAAGGTTAGGTTTGTAAAGGTGGATTGCAATTGCTTCTGCTATGTGAAGTAAGCGAGTGAGTAATCCATGTGGTTAATTTATTGGAATATGATGAATAATAGTATCCACTCGATGTCCCATGTCAACTAGGTTTGTAAGTATAGAGCTCTTTATTGTTCTAGCTTGTTCCTTCCTCAACCATGATGGGTTGACCATCGTATTCAAAAACGTTTGTTCAACCAACTTCATTACCGTGGCCATCAACATGATGTAACGATTAAACAACCCAGTTCAGAGAACACAATACAACCAAGATATGATGTAACTCCTAGTATTACTTTGTACACCTTCTCCCCTTCTTGTTTCTGTCAATATTCATTTGTTTTATTACTATGTAATCACTTATTGTTTATGTCTGAGCACTCATCAAAAACCACTCCATTTACCTAAGAATAACCTGCTTCATATTTTCAATCTTAATAACTCTATTGATTATTTACATCCTTATTTCTAAAACATCATCTTCATGACATTATATTTATATTATCAACCAGAAACGATTCATTCTCTCATTTGAGGTATTTTAAATGTTAAATATTCCCTCCTTATACTCGTCATGCCTCACAATAGTTCAAAAAACCAATTTTAAAACAAATGAATATTCTATCTTTAGTCTCCGTTTAGATTTCACAAGTTCACTGATTCTTGAGTGGTATGTATGGTTATTTACAGCGTGCTTTTACAATTCGTGATTTCGAAAATAAAATGGGTACCAATGTATGCACTAGACAAAGTAATATAAAATGTCGTCAGAGTGTTGAGCGGTCACACGAAGAATAGTAGAAATTATCAGAAAGAGATGGGCAGTTACGTAAAATATGCTGAAGGAACTTCCGCTACTTTCGTTCTGGACATTATTTTTCAACTTGGATTTGAATCAGAAGCTACCATGACTCTCGTTTCGAACCTTTGTTCTCTTTTCTGCATTCTTCTGAGGGTGTTGAAGTCATTGGTATTAGATCTCTTAGACTGACATTGCGACGTAATGCCCAAATAGTTAACCAAATGTAATGACCGTGAATCACACCTCGTGGGACTAATAATTACAACTGCCCGTTGAACCACTCCAGTTGAAGCAGGAATTGAGTTCGTGATCTATGGGCTAGAGGGTTTATTGCCTGAACTAGTGAACCACAGTTTCAAATTTTGATCTGCTGATATCTTAAATTACTACATCAAATGGTCTTTCAAACCCAACTCAGCTATTCATTTCACACTATCTCACTACGAATTTGATAGTAGTGTATAATACAAGTAAATGCAGTATACGGGGCTTCAGGATGTAATATACTGCTTAATTACCAGATGCTTATATTATGAGGAATGTTCCGACTTTTATCACTTGCGAAAAGCTACATGCTGTCTAAACTTCAACGGTGCATAAGGCATATGAAACTTAAGCTTAGCTACTTCTAAATCTGGCTTGATCTGCTCATTATTTCATCAGGTACACATACATTAGTATTGTTTTTGTTCAATCTTAGACACTCATCGCCTAATGATTGTGGATGCTAGAAGCCGTAGTAGTGCACAATTCAATCGTATACGTGGTGGTGGTTTTGAATATCCAGAATATTACGACCAGGCTGAAGTCGTTTTTATGGATTTGCCGAATTTGCATACTGTACGTTCGAATTTCGAAGCCCTCACCAATTTGTTCGCCGGTAAATGTCCAAAGTAAGTCCCATTGTAACAGTAGCTTGAATTTTTTGAATCTACATTCCAATGTATATCTAGTGTGTCCTCTCTTGTTAACGTTAACTGTTATCTGGTAGTTTTCCAAAAGCAACATCACAGTAGGCCAAAATAAAGTATTCATTTCATTGTCAGTTTCTGAATTCATTTGGATGCAGCAGTTGAGTGAATTAATTGAAATTTTTGGTTTATTTTCCGTGAAAAAGCCAAAATTTTGTTGTGAAGAAATGATTTGATCGTATAACACTCACTCATCAATTTTAATGATCACGAAGATAGTTTATGATAGACGTATACATGAGGTATGACTTAAACAACTAAATTATATTACGATCGAGATTCAGAGGAAGAGGAAAAAGATTCCATCTGCTTGATTGTAATAGGTTTTGAGTTGTCAGGATCCATCTGTGTCGACTGATTTCTAAGCCCGAAGCAGCCGCAGCCAGAAAGCACATATGGCTTAAGTCAGCAGTTAGTAATCAAATGAATTGATGTTGATATGTCCAAACGTGTTTACTTACTGAATAATTATATCTGTTGTTTTTGTTTTCCTAAATTGTGAATTTCTGGTTCTACAATGAAATGTCCTGCGCTTATCGATTTTCTGTTTGCTTCTTCCATACATATGTTTTGACCTCTTTTGCTTGTTAGTTTCTATATGCATAATTTACTTGGTAATCTTGCATACTTGGTCTATGAAGAGAGATGTATGCCAAGCTGTATCAGTTATGTTTTAGTCTGAGCATTTTAAGTCTTTTTCTTTCAGCATAGCACATGAAGTTGGATAGTTACTCAGTATGTAATAGCCCGTCTAGGCCATCTTAAACTGGTGCAGATTCAAAACTTCTTCCATTGTCTTTCTCTAAATAATAAAACCATATATCCAACGTTAACTCTGATCGCTGGGTGGTGCTAGGTGGTCCTTCGAATTCATCTATTTTGGGATATCGGTCACCTCATATATTCCATTTACTCGGTCTATGTCTTACGGTCGTAAAGTGATACGGGATTGACTGCTGCATAGTAAAAATATTGTGAATGAACAAACACTTTAAGATTGATGCCCTAAGTAACATGCGTTTGTTCCCTGATTCGGTTTCGTCAACTAACATTTCCGACTTAAGGAAATGTGAAGATAAAAGGAACGTATGTGAATAATATCATAGCATACCATCCTTTTAATAATCTCAAGCACAACACTATCACCCTATATGCTGTAAAAAACTACAATGTCGAACTGAATCATATGACATGTTTCTATTAAAAAATAAAGAGATTGTTTTGCAATTTGTCTGTACAGCTGGGTGTTAGAAAGAATCAATTGGCCTCGGTAGTTTCTTCAGAAACAATGGATGCACGTGAACGCGTTCTTGCAGGCTCCAAGCGCAACGAAGAACGAAAGCAACTCGAATGTGGGCTGACGAGAAGTCTGTTCAATAACCGTGAGCACTGGTTTTAAGCAAAGGCTTTAAGGATAGAAAAGGCATTGGCGACGAATAACAATAGATAGCTACTTGGATTTATCAAGGAAACCAGGGGAAAAAAGTCAATCATCAGTGAGACTATGGCGAAAAAAGATAAGCCTATGATTCACTCACCGGGAAAATGTTCGGGACACTTCGAGGAACGGTGAAACTGGCCTCCAGATACTATTCCGTTGCCCGCTATCTAGTCGGATCCTGAATAAAACATAGTCCCGTTAGGTGCATAAACTGACAAAACAAAGAGTCTATCGAACACTTTGAGTGGCGTTTTCAGAATGTTTGGGATGCGTTTCTCGACACCCAAATGCAAATTGTTGCTCCAGAACTGGTTTGCGTTGGCACCTCATCTAACAACACAGAGTGAAATGGTTGACCGGCGTTGACCATTTCACTCACCTACGAAGTCGTATCAACCCTACTTGGTCAGTGACTGGCGAAATCTCTGCACAGATACAAAAGACTCGATTAACCTTCTTCAACTAACGCCATTCATGGCGTCACCGTGATATCCGATTGCATATTGAAGGTTGATTGTACTGGTCTGCAGTTCGCTCTGTTCTACAGTGTGATTTTGAAGGGTGACCACTGAAGTTGGAGGGAATGAGAAGGTTTCAAGTGGTTGACGGTTGCTGCTTCCGTATCCATAGACTGTTTCATGATTCCACCATATCAGTAATGCAGAAGTCAGGTGTAGAGTATTAGGGAGGAGAAGAAAGTTAGTCAGTCAATGAGGTTGTGACCCAGGTGGCTAGCACATGTGTTGTGTTACACGCGCGTAGTCACCATTTGGCCTGTCGCACAGTATCAGAGGAAATAGGTTCAGGCTGGTAAAAGGCTCAGGGAGGCGAGAATGAAACGTTGGGTCAGTGCATGAAGTCTTTGCCCGTTGGTCTGAGCCACATAGAGGAATGAGGACTACCTGGTTGGGCTCAGCGTGACAACAGAAACCAGTGGTTGGAGGCTCTAGGAGATATGGCTCAGAATCAATGTCATCGGAGCAGGTGTATCCACACATTACCTTCGTCTAAGTCGTCATACTGAATTTCAGTATCCCCTCAATCTTTCTTGCTCTCTTTTGATGACCTTCTACCTCTTTTGTATGCTTTCTTTATTTCTTCATCTTTCATTCTACACATTCTAGCTTGATACGCTGATATAAGGTGTTACAATGTATACACCTACGCAGTTAATGCAAAATATCGTGCCGATGTTTACTGTCTGACTGTAATGCTAGGCGCATGTGGAATAAGTTTAACCTCAAGAACGTGCAGAATGTGACAATTGCAAAATAAATGTTTCAAGGTGAAATGAGTGCTTAAACTGGATTTAGTAGTACTCGATGATACAGTAGTTTACAATTAGTTTCAGATTAATTGTTTCAGCGATACTTTCCCTGTTTCCAAATCTGAAGGGTTTCAGTTTTCGATTTGGAAAGGAATCAACGCTTCACTTTTTTGAGAATTCATTAATTATGGTTAAACAACTATTTAGTGCCTTTTTTCAATCATGCTCTAAATAACGCTTCGTCACGAAAACTATCTACAGAGCGAATCATATCTGTGAGGCAGCGTTTTTTTCCAGTCGGTTTTGCTGGGTAATGAGTTATCATTTGTGCTCAGTAAACTGGCTACCACTTTTTTGAAGGATCTGTTAGTGTTACTGGCAAAAGATATACATTTATGAAAGATTTCTCTTGGAAGAAGATCCAGAATGCTGTGTAGGTAGAAGCAGTAATACAACTATTCGGTTTATTGTTTAATGATTGTATTTACAGATTGCTGTTTCCCTACGTTATTTTGCCATAACCTTTTGTTTGAGAATTTCAATAATAAAATGTTGCTAGTCACATATACTTATGATTGAAGTCAGGGCTTGGAATCACTTTTACTAATCATTAATGCTGTTTAGTAGTGAGATAAAAATGATCTAAACACCAGCTGGGAGTTTCTCACGTTTGCAACCAACTATATTTGCCATATACCCAAAATGACTCAGCTCACAATAGCTGAAGCATTAATGTCACATATATTTATCTTAGCTTTTTTTATTTGATATGGTACACGGTAATACAGTATTATTTACTTGATGACATTTTGAGCATAAATTATTGCTCATAATCACATCTATGTCATCAAACAGCTTTCGACATCTGTCCTATCATATGATATTCTCTGTTTTTATGATAATTTACTTGGTTGTGGATAGCAGAGGAATCCAGAACTCGCGTCTCGTTCTATTTGGGACTAGTCAAATAACTCGATCTAATAAAACAACAGAGAACTACAAGCATATCAACAAAAAGTAATTCTTCATTTTCTATTGGTAGTAAAACTTTTCATATCTCCGGTATGGGTGTTGCGTCCTTCCCACTACATGTGTTGGGTGTTGACTCGGTGAACAAAGATTCAGTAATCAATCTCTCTCCACCTAATGATATTGAACTTCAGCACAGTGGTTTTATTCCACCTTATTGTGTGGTTTTGAATTGAAATGGCTGATATTTTTTCTAGATTATTGATTCGATTGGGATCTGTCATTCTTTATTTGGTTAAATTCCTACGTTCCCCTAATCTAAGTGATCCTGAACGACTAGTTTGAAGTATATACTTGACCTCACAGTCATTACATGGGATTTATTAGATTAGATTATTTTGCTGCATTGGATCTATCAAATCCTTAAGCCGACAAAGTATGTCTCTAAGTTAGTTTGTAGGTTTAAATGACAGACGCCAATCGAATCAATAATCTAGAAAAAATATCAGCCATTTCAATTCAAAACCACACAATAAGGTGGAATAAAACCACTGTGCTGAAGTTCAATATCATTAGGTGGAGAGAGATTGATTACTGAATCTTTGTTCACCGAGTCAACACCCAACACATGTAGTGGGAAGGACGCAACACCCATACCGGAGATATGAAAAGTTTTACTACCAATAGAAAATGAAGAATTACTTTTTGTTGATATGCTTGTAGTTCTCTGTTGTTTTATTAGATCGAGTTATTTGACTAGTCCCAAATAGAACGAGACGCGAGTTCTGGATTCCTCTGCTATCCACAACCAAGTAAATTATCATAAAAACAGAGAATATCATATGATAGGACAGATGTCGAAAGCTGTTTGATGACATAGATGTGATTATGAGCAATAATTTATGCTCAAAATGTCATCAAGTAAATAATACTGTATTACCGTGTACCATATCAAATAAAAAAATCTAATATGGGATTATATTCTGCCACAACGCCCAGATTTTACACTTATTTTAGCGCATATTGTGTTAGCCAGCAGCGATCACTGAATGCTCATGTCAAACAGGTTTTTGTCTTCGTTTTTGATAACATACGTATTGTCGAGTAGGTTGCGTTTTATGACTCTGAAATCTTTACTTTTAGAGGAAATCACTATGGTATCATTACTGGGTAACGTCTACTTAATTTGTTCGCATCACAAGCTGAGCATCTTTCCAACACGTGCTTTGACTCTGTTATCAACTAATTTCGACTGTGTAGTTTGGGTAAAAAAAGATATTTCAGCTTTTAAAGTTTTCTATCATTAACCCAATCGCGAATTCGCTCTTGAAGGAATCCACTTGATGGTCAAACGGTAACCACCACACCTTGTAACTCTGTAGTATAAGCATTCATCTTTCAACTCTAGAACTATGAGTTCAAAATCGAATGTAACTCAATTCTGAGCAGATCATACTGGGCTGTTGGGTTTATGATATGATCCAATTGTCCAGGCCTAAGCAAGTGCAGCAATCGTACACTAAGCATTCTTCAGTTTAGGGGGTGAAGTAGTAGCGTTATTATCTATGTAACAAAGTTTCCCTCCCAAACTATTGCTTAAGTTTGTTTTTTGACCATTATCTCTGCTTTCTGCTTTTTCGTCTGATAGTTTCTGTATTAGGTTAGAATTTTTAAACTATCCAGATTTTAACCACAATGTTGGTGTCTTCCTTTTTGCAGCTGGTTTTCCTCATTGGAAAAATCATCCTGGTTAAACAATATTGGTCAACTTTTGAAGACTGCCACAGAAATTGCCATCGCTCTAGAAGAAAATGCTCGTCCAGTCATGGTTCATTGCACAGATGGCTGGGATCGTACACCTCAAATAAGTTCCTTGGCACAACTACTGGCAGATCCGTTTTATCGAACAATCCAGGTGAGGGATTATTATTTTTTTTAAATGTTATAACTTCTGTTTGCATTATCACGAAAGAATTGTAGTTAACTGTGCCCAAAATTTTTTTTTTTTATAGGGGTTCAGTATCCTTGTTGAACGTGAATGGTTACAGTTTGGACATAAATTTGCTGACCGAAGTGGGCATGCTTCACCTTCATCAAATTTGAATGAACAGAGTCCAATATTTTTACAATGGCTTGATTGTGTACATCAAGTTCGAAAGCAGTTCCCTCACTGTTTTGAATTCAATGAATCCTTTTTAGTAGGTGCTTTTGTTCAATCTAATTTTTAATTCGTCCAATGGTTTAGCACAGTCTAGTAACTACTTTCCTTGCTATTTTATGGTTTATTTTTTCAAGCAGTAAGTAAGTACTTAGTAGTTATTTCACAGAGTACGTGGGACACTATATTTATAAACATAAGGCCTCTAACCATCAGTTCTACTGTCTTGTGAAGCCCATTGTAGAAATCTACATTTTCTTACGCCACCGAGACTTACAGTTAAGGACGGCCGGTTCTACTTCATACTGTGGGACGCCTAATTCTCTTCCAGATGCTCCAAACGTTGTTTTATATGGTGGCTGAACTTCAGTAATATGTACCAACCAATTAAATCGATGGAAGTTCACAACCTCACCAGTTGAATTAACTCTCTTAATTAAGGCGCTACATCCATCGCATCTCTTGTTCAGTGTTTCCATGATACGCAACTGATACTTCCAACGCAGTAGTGAATAAACATCTGAAGAGTTATGTTTTCCAACTTCAATGTTCATGTTTCACAATCACAAATTAGGATAGAGAAAACTTTCGTGAAGCAAACTTTACTGTTAGTAGATAATTAAATAGTTCGCCGGCATAATAAGAGAGGTAGTTAAGCGAAAATCGATAGAGCTTTTAGTCATTTGCCATCTTATCAAGTTTGTACTGACTTCTTTGTTTAGTGAGGTGATGGACACACTCAACGACTTCACTTCTTGTTGTCAAGCAGGGTTTCAACGTCAATCAGTCTTGAAGCAACATTTTATGTTTTGGTTGCGAGAAACATCCTGAATATTTTCAACTTGTTACACGATATGTGCGGAAGACTATATCATAGCAGCGTTTCGGTTTACCAGGACTAATTTGTTTGTTTACTTTGAGTCTGCTTAGAATTTTGTGACGAGGAGGTCAGCTGTTAAAACAAATCACCGGAGAGAGACCTTAATAAGCGAGTCTATAACAAAGCTAAGTGAAAATAGAAAGAAAGTGAACATCCTTAGTGAGCATTCAACGTAGACATTTCAGCGGATACTTTTGTCAGTGTGACCAACACTTATGGTTTGTTCTCTTTCAGTAAGTCCTGTATGAAGTCGATCAGGATTCACTGTCCTTCCTTATTTCAGGGTACCTAATTAAATCAAACTAAGTTAAGAACTTCATAAACGACCTTACATGACTGATCTAAGCTCCTTCACTCTGCGTTCTATGATCACGTCGCTGGGTCAGTATGACTACCCATATTAATCCTCTTTTTCGTATACTTCAAAAAGAAGTAACTTTTCACTTTATGGATAGCTCAAAGTGTCCCGCTCTCATATCTTTGTCAGCACTTAGGTCCTTTGTGGTAGCAACGAGTATTCTACTCAGTTGGCTTTTGTTTTTTCGTCGAACAACATAGATCCAAAAGATATCATTATTCGTTTGGTTTTGGGCCCAGTCACACACGCCAAAGGATTTCAAGAGTTGACGGAAAAACTTGGTCATAAAGAAAACTGGATAGAAAATAAAAAAAGAAAGGGAAATCAAAAGGGCTTTCGAATGTAATGAAGATGTGGACTGACAAAAAGCGTGAGTGGTCAAACTGGCTGTTTAAGGAATGTGATGAAATATATTTAAATTTTGGAAAGAAAATGATTAGATTGAAACTTAGTGCTTTTTGGACCATAGGTTGCTACGTCCTACCTGTTTTGTTATTGAGCGGCTGACTGTTTTATTTTCGAATGCCCATAGTAGTTGCCTTAGTACATTACTGACAAGTTTACTGAGTATTATATCGTTCTCTTTGTTTTGAACAAATTCTGGAAACCGTGGACCACTAATAAGTAATTTTTTGTCGCCAAATGGGTAGTGGAGATTAGTGTCTCGAGATAATGGTATTAATTGGCGGGGTTTTACTGTTTGTATGACACAGAAGCGCTTTCAGCTAACCATCCTTATTTGATACTTGGATATTGACAATATGGTACCTGTCTTTTCTCACATTTTGAAATTTTCTTTCTCTTGTTGTGCCAAGGGTTCTTTTAGACTGAAGCAATGTATGCCTTTTTTTATTGACGATGGATTGATAAGTAAAAATATCCTACGTAGAACTTGTATCGGCCTTTAATTATTATTATGTGGTATCATTTTTCTTTTATTTATTTAATTATCTTATTTGTTGTTCATAGCTGAAACTTGGCTTACATATTTGCTCCAATTTGTTTGGTACATTTCTCTGTAATTCTCAACAAGAACGACAGAAAGCCTCAGTTGCATCTCGAACCTGTTCACTATGGGGGTTGCTTTCACCAAAGTATAATTGGACCATCGTAAATTATTTTTACGAGCCAGAGGCTGAGGTTAGTTTCTTTTTTGCCTTTTTAACAAGTTGCTTCACTTTAAGACTTTAAAAAAACAAGTTATGTCATACTGAATGAAAACCAAAATAGGGTCAGTATGGTACGTAGTTCTCAGCATGTATCGACTAAAGAACCAGATCACGTGTGGTACTATATCTTATTCTAGGTGAGACACATGTCCATACTTGCTTTATGCATCTGACACAATTGTTTTCCTCAATTCTAGTTCCAGAATATCAGTGACGAATGTTGGAACAACTCAGTAAGTGCATGTAAGCTGCTGTACTAAACTGTAAACCAGACTCGTCGTTAGCTGGTTAGTCGTACCACATGTGTGCGTGAATCCTTTATCGGTAGGATGAGGTTTGAACTCAAGATGGAGCGGTAAAGAGTTTAGTGCCTAAGTCAATAGATATTCAAGAGGCACTTGTCACTGACGTATGGCAAATGACATGTAGATTCACTGTGCCCACGATCAGGTACTGTACATTTCACCACTAACGTTTTGATGTGTCAGTATTATCCTTCAAGTTTTTCTTTTATCCACTACGAACACCTATAAGAGTCTATAGAACTGGTGTACAATCCTTACTAAAATTCAGCTGCAATCAAATACTATAGTTGTCGACCGATTCTTATCATTTCCATTTATCCAAACTTACACTTGACGTCCCGATAACAAACAACAGACGTAACTCTAAAGTTCCTCTTGTAAACTTTTCGATGTATGAGGGTCTTAATAAATTTTATTCCTACTCTCAAACTCCTTATCTAAAATGAAGTAGATGATCCCTTGCGATCTAGGCTCTTGATTTCCGACCGATGGGTCACGGGCTCGAAATCAGCCCCAACTACCGGGGTTTGGAGAACCAAGTGGTAAAATTCACCTTCACAAAAATTATGGCTTATTGCCGACTGCACGATTGTAAACAGGGTTGCTGTTTGGATTTTGTTTTTCGGATGTAGGCGTGCAAAAAAATTTATTTTTAGTTACCATCTGCGTATACTTTAATTTAAATTTCAATAAAGCAGGAATTTGCATTAGTTCATCAAATCTAAACTAGTTAACTGTACATAGTTTTTGGATGCATGACCTCAGTACTCGTTTAGGGGCTGGATAAAGTAGAATTGTTCAAAGATAACTAATATCCGAATACACAAGCAGCTTATATGTTTCGTTCTTCTGTACTATGGTGTATTCGTACATTTATTGGCACTTCAGAAAAGCCTGTGTTTACGGTCTATGGTTCTCAAACTAATGTGTTTATTTATGCATAGTTCTTGGTCTTACCCTTCCCATTTTCTAGAAGTGTTTCTAATGTATCAAAGTATCAGAAATTAAAACTAATTCGACTGCAGGCGAAGTGTTTGATAGGAAAGTTCTTAACTTTTATCCCCTTATTTCTGTGGCAACCAATGTAGTGTTGTCTTGGTCGTTATAAGCAGATGCCTAAATTTGCCTGGTTTAGTTTGTACTTATGCACCTTATTTTGACTTCATAAAGAATTATTTTGACGTTTCTTTCGTAATTTATCTAAAAACCAAGATCTCACGTAACATTGTTAAACATATTTTATTACATCCAGGCCATTGCTCATGTTTAGGCTATAGCATTGTGGTGACACTAAACTTTGAATATACTCATCCATATAGTTGAATTATTCTGTTGTTTTCTGTATCAGACTTATTTTCTGGAATAAATCAATGACTTTTTATGTGTTGTTTCATGGTTGTTTGTAATATAATTGTGGCTTCCTATTCTCCAAGTCGTGATTTTCCAGCCACATTTGGTATGAAAAACTTAAGTATTCTTCATAATGATTACTACAAATCGATTCTCAATAGTTACCCAGTGATTAGTTTGCTTTCTATTGGCTCGCAATGAAGATCGCGTGAGAAAAAACGTGATCAAGGTCATGTGATCTCTGTATTTAAGGTAACTGCTAACGAAGATACACTTCTATCTATGAAATGATCACGCCTAATGACTTATTTTGAACTTCAAGTCTTTATGTAAAGGGATGATCTTTATATTGTTCGTCCTTGTCCTTTTCGCAGACTAGGTATTTTGTTTAGAGTAGCATATACATGTTTACATTACTGCATATCCTATCGCCCCCACTGCATTTATGTTATCACACTACCTGATTGATTAGGAAAGCATAACGAAATCACTTTGACATTTTCGTTTCGTTAAGCACCGGAACGGAATGTGTGAGAGGAATGGATAAGTTAAGTGTTGAACTCATGGTTTGTTGATTGGGTCTTCACTCCTCAGCACGGGTATAATTGCGTGTGTTCTACACTATTTGTATTCCTTAGCATGGATTGAAATTCGATGTGGTTGTTTGAAGTGAAGTCTTGTGTGCCACTGAAATAGTTTTATCAGATAGAGATACAGAGTGAAATAGGATCTTGATGACTTTGATTAAAAGTTGAGAATCGTTAGTATGAATGAATTCAGCATTTACGAATTATGAAATTGACACTGTAGTGTTTGTCTGCACCAACCCTTATAGAACATCGGGTGAATTGCCATCTCACGCGTTATGTACACGCTGATCAGTGACTGGAATGCAAAGTGTACATTTATTTCTAAAACAAATGATCGTTACCCATAGATGACGTTTATTTTATCATCAGTAGTCATGTAACACAGCTTGTTCTTAATCGCTACATAAACTTAATAACACTAACGGTAGGCATAATATTTAGGAAAGTAAACTAGTTGGAATTTACGCGAACTATGGTATCTAGAGCATCTAGTCTGCATATGATGCTGACTTAATAGATAGTGCCTTGTTATCCTAAAGTAGAAGTGGTCAAATGCCAATCAAAATTCACTTAGTGAGATGTTGGAGTAAGCAGCGAGCGATATCTATTGTATATGGGCTAATAATACAACCTGGTTGTCCAAGCCTCTGTAGGAAGAACTTGTTCTGGCCCCGTGACCCATCGGTTGGGAATCGAGTGCCTAGATCACCGAGCAACAGCTCCACAAAGTAGAAGAAGTCTGAATTATGCGTGAGTAGTTTAGTGTTAGGACACAAAACCAGTAACTATTTGCTTGATCTTAATACAGAAAGTATTCGTCTTAAAGACACTAAGTAAATTATATTAAACTTACTAACGACCCACATGATTATTAGTTAAGATATGAGTCATAAACGTTGTGTATAAACTGGTTATATTATTGAGCTATCTAGACATGGAATACACTGCAGCATTCTAACTAAAAGTTGTTTATCAAATTAGTCATTGAAAGTAATTGTTACTAGCAGCACACTGGAATTCAATGATTATCACACGTGATATACAGCCACTGTAAACGCGTGGGTTGCCCCATTCTGTAGCATGTAGTATCATCCAGTTCATTAGCATTTAAAATCGTCTTATGTCATTGTCATACCACAAACGTTTACTGGTTGTTCCGTATGCTTAAGGTTGTTATATCATTTAGTGGGATGAAATTTATCAGGTCCTTACAGCATACCGTGAATCCGGCAATATTGAATAGTTGGATAAAATCTATATAGGATGTGAGGATTTTAGGTGGTTGAGCGATAAGCAGATCTGCTTCTATGAGATTTTTCCATCCCCTCAACAAGTAGGTGAAAAAATATCTCGAAAACTTATTGTCCATATTTAATGTCCATATATAACGATGACTGAATTAAAAGAGCTTATCGCATTAGGGGGTTAAATAGGTGATTATATAATAATCGTCGTACATTTAAGTTGAATTGTGATCTTGTATTCTTTTTTCATCACTTAAAGGAAATACTAATTTTATGCAACCAAATGTACGCTTAAGGATGGTTCAACCAAGGTATCAGTTCATGAAGTGCTTGACCGTTGATCTGAATCGTTTAGGGAAGTGTAAACTTTCAGATTGAGGTCCATGAGACTACTTTTATCGCCTCTTCTATTTTTCTTACAGACTTTTGTGACTTTTAATAGTGTAATATGTATTTGTTTGTTTCTTCTTCCACCTTGATTCATTGATGTGAAATGTGGCAGGTTGGAACGTAAGATGGTAATGAAACGTCTCGCGTTTATGACATAATTCTATCCATACGCCAAATAAATGTTCATTCATCAGAATCAGAAAAATTAGCTTGAATCTTTGTACTTGTTTGTAGCTGGTTTTGTATATTTTATTCTATTCTATTCAAAATCTATGTGTAAGTTCAAGTACTAGGTTGTGCAATGCCACCTAGATTGTCAGCTATCCACTAGTTGAAAACTGAGTAGCTAAACTGATGGTTACTAAGTGGTTTTGCACAAGTAGACAAATAATTATTGTAGTGGAGAACTGCTTATATGCCTAATGGTTATGTATCTAGGACTACTGTAAATTCGTCGCCGTTGTGTTTGTCATTTCTCTTGTTACGATTGTTTTTTAGTTGTATTTGGATTTTACGAAATTCTAAATTCAACTCTTTGTATGCCGGTTGACTTTCAGGGTCTTCTTCAACCAGATTTCCAAATTCGTTCCCTAAGTCTTTGGAGTGCATTTTATGGGATTGCTTTGTCTACAAATAAAGCAAGTTGCCTAAATGTTTCACAGAGTCTTTCTGATACGGTCACCTGCACAAATACTGCACATCAAAATTCAAAATCTTTTTCATCTCCTACGAAGCATAAATCTTTCTCATCCATTGAACCAGCCACTATGAAAACTGATCTGATTTCAAATTTTAGCTGTGAGAAGTTATCACAACCTACAGACCATGATCGGCCTATCGAGTCACTGAAAACGGTGGTACCAGATTTGAGAATCGACACATCCGACGAATTACAAACGGTCAATATACGTACTGATCCATTCGTCAGAGGAACTGCTTCTGGTCGAAGTTCGCGTCGACGTTCTTTGGGCGATTTAGTTAGCCACTTGAATCCTGTATCTACTAAACAACCATTGAACGAATTTTCTCTATCAAATCGTATTTCTTCCACTATAATGAAATCCTCAAGTCAGTGTTTTTATGATAATGATCTGTGCAACGACAAAAGCAGTCCTGGACCAGCTATACTTCGTCTTTCATCTTTTTCTGATGATACAGGCATATGTTCTAGCTTATCTAGACCGTGTATGAGATCTTCTCTGTCGTCAGTTAGTAATAGCGGGAGTGCTTTTCCTGGAGACCCAGGTAAATATGTATCTTCTGAATCTGATGGACAGTTAACTATGAGCACATGTACATATGTGAATCAGTATCAAAAACAAGAGTGTTTGCTTCCTACGGATGAGAGTACGGACGTGTTTGCCGCAGATGAACAACTGGAACAAAATGATTTTTCTTTCAGCAATCGTAGCAACAGCATTAATGGGAGTAATGATAACAACCAATCCTCAGGTCGATTATTTTACACACAACTTAATCATAGTACACAGAACTGTCAGTTTTATGGAAAATGTTCACCACTATCCATTTCATCGAGAAACTTCGAGTTTAATGATTGTGATGATAATAATGCAAATGATAACGTGAATACCAGATTAAGTGGTAAAATGTCATACAACTTTCATCTCGATAGCACACATGCAGATAGCTTTGTTTATAACAGCCCACGATGGTCGGTTACTACACGTGGAAGTAATGCAAGCCTTTACCTGTTATCAGATGTGAAACAGTCTTCTGTTGAACTAATGAAACCAGTATTAATGAATCCCACTCAACCAATGGATATAAAAATATCTTATAAGTCTGGCAATCATAACAGTTTAGTGCCAGTTGGGGATAGTATCTGTCCTAATGAACTTGCGGTGCATGTGAGTCGTCTGATGATTTTGTTTCCTATACATCACACTTCAAGTACAATTATGCCTTTTTTTCTACATATCTTTTCGTTTTACACTTGTGTACTTTTCTCGAATTATAAATCAGGACTGATTTTTGCATGATAAGTCATGTTCTTATCAAGTTATCCATTTTTAGTGTTGATATTTGTGTAACCTGTTATTGAGCATTCATCTAGCCATCTTACTGTCGTATGCTCTTCAAACATCATTACTTGGCATAGCCTTATCATTATATTCTCGTATTAATAACAGGGTTAATGTTCCCAGCATCACTTGCTTGTGTGCAGTACCTATCGTTCTCTCATTATTTGTTTCCTTAATCGATGTTAGGACTCAGTATTTACTGGGTGTTCAACTTGGAAAATGTACCGTATTTGTTTGCGTACTTGTGAAAAATGTATAAAATTGTAAAGTCACATATTTAGCCAAATCTGTGGTCAGTGGTTGTGTCAGAATATTTAGCTGAGTTTGCATTCATTTTTACTCGTAAAATGTGTTTAGCTACTTAATAATAACTTTTATCCACAATATTTTGTAATCTGCCTTCTGAGAGCCATATGATAGAAAAATCGCTGTACTTCAGATGGTGGTTTTGGATTGTGTACTGCGTATAAGAAAATGTGTAATTAACATATAGTGTGGTGTTGCCGGAAAAGCCAATTGGAACTAGCATTTAATCAGTACAAGTTCTGAAGAAAGAAACGAAAAACAGAAAAGATATCTCTAAGATAAACCCATGGAGCAGCAGAAACTATTCTTCTCTAGTGTTGTTCATTGGTTTAGGGAATTGACTTGTTAAACAATGGGTCATGGATCTGAACACCGCTTCTACACAACCCAGCTCAAAACAACGGTTACTTCATAGGTTTGTCTTGCCACGTTAACCATTTTCTAGCGTTCGTTGGTCGGATTGAATGTTGCATCTTACGATAAGACGTTACTATGTAGCTGTGTATATTTTAGTTTTCCTCACCAAATCAGTATTCACAAGTCCTAAACGTTATTTTTGCCTCAAAGCTAAATCCGAACCCGAAAATTTCGATTCCGCATTTTCACTTTCCCATAGTCAAACGCGCATATTTTTTGTTGCATCTACCTTCCGTCACATCAATACACTTCAAAAAAGTAAGCCGATTGCGACGTTTGTATCCGGTTAGAAATTTTTCGTGACTTGCCATCGATGATTTCTTAGTGTTTATTATATCACTAAGCTGGCAAACAGGGGCAAATTCATACATTGGTGATGTACCTTTCTGTAGGGATTTTTATACCAGTACTTATGATTATGATGAACTCACGTTTATGGAATCTTTTCGAATTTTTTCTGTATCGTTTGTTTTCTTTCACTTTCTTTGAGTGTTTTATTAGAGAGCAAGGAAATCTTAGATTTGATTCACACTGACGGGTCTTAATTTATCTAATTAAATTATGAACTGGTATGATAATGTTTTGACGACTTCTTGACACTGAGCTTATTACCTATTTCTAAATGAAGAAAGATATTCTCCATGTTTGTCAGGCTCAAGGTGGCAACCAAAAATACTGACATTTGACTTGGTTATTTTAATTTCATGAGCCCTATGCGAGTGGTGATTGACAACTGTAACGTAGTAACTATCTTTGTAATCAGTCCCAGACTTTGCTCTAGATTACGTTTTCATGTAATTCAATACATTTGTGTACTGTAATCGTCTTACGTAATATGTATAATAGCTGGTTTCTCTTTATTTACTTTTATTTGTTAACACTAAACAGAGTTTACCTGAAAATGATGAGGTGCTAGTCAATGGAACTGAATCATTAACATGTGATTCGGATAATTCACCCAATGAAAGTAATGATTTGAATTTCTCAACACCTGTAGGCGAGTCTTTATCTAGTCAGGTACCAACAAGCTCAATCAACGTTTCTACTCGTAACGACAATTGCACTGAAAGATGGAAAAATGCTAATGGAACCATATCCAAACTTAATGGGATCAATATAGATGATGCGTTTACGACGAGGTTCAGCGAACTACTTATTCCTGAAGATTTGGTAAGATGGTAGATATTTATACTATAAAACGTCTTCCTAAAATATTCTCAAATGATCCGTAACCAGTGGGATTCTTTTCACAAAATTTATGCTGTACACGTTAAGTTTGCGACTGAGGACCATATTATTGACGGCCGTACACATACGGATTCCCTTAGACGGAGAGCAAGCTTTTGATTACTTTATGGAATAAGTTGCGGCTAACAGTATACTATGTTGCATGTGAATGTGGTAAAAAATAACCTTAGAGTTGCCCATGAAACTGCAACTGGAATGTAGACCAGTGCATAATATACATGAATGATCTAATGCTAACGTCAGTTGTTAGATGACGTCCAAGATCCAGAGTTATGGGACGCCTAGGTGGAGCTCGAGAACAGCATACTCTGGAAAAACAGACAAGTTTTGGACCTCGACGAGGGTTTTGGAGGATAGGCATAGTTGTCATATTTCTTGACCTGATGGTGACATTGACTTAACTCTGTCGATCGAGAGATGTTATTGCAGTATCGGACTGTGAAATGCTAATCAGAGCACTCTGCTCTAACTCATGCAACCGTGTAAGGGCTTATGCAGAGTCGTCATCTGAACTGATGATAGGTAGTGGTGTTCGTCAAGTTTGTCTTTTGTCACTGTTCCTGTTCAACTTCCTTTTAGGCATTAGTAATGGACACGACCTTAGGTACGTCTGGCTTCACGGGGATTGACTGACCTATTCCTTGGAGGGTATGTGGATGACGATATTGTGTTGTTGGGTGAGGACGCTGACTGAGTGCAGAGTCTTCTGAACACACTGAGTGGAACTTTGTGTTTGAAATGCGTTTTACACCTATCAAATATAACTCTGTGTTTCAGGATTGGCCTAGAGCAAGTCCCACTTTAATGATGGCGAGTGAAGTGGTCCAGTGCGTTGATTCCATGATTTCATTTCACATCGGTACATGCTTATCTATCGAGCTGATAAAACCCTAAATTTATGATTTAGGCTTAGTCCCTCGTGGGGCCATTGCTGGAAACTTCAAAGGAATTCCAAACTAGGACGAAACAGCACTTCACTGCTTCCACATCATGCTTTTGAAGCTGATGCGGATTTGCCAGTGTCAGAGTTAAACTTGATCGCCGTCGATAATTGTAATACCATATTAGTTTATTTTTTAGTTGTAAGACAGTGAAACAGACTAATTATTGGTTAGCATACCTGACTGTTCGTAGGGATATCAAGCCAACACTACAAATCTGAGACAGGTTTTATTTAGTTCCAGTTTGCTCTTCTATATGATATTCTTCTGTGAGATGGCAAAATTTTCCCTTTACTTGTACCAGGTGCTGAGTCATTCCTGTTTCATATGTTCACAGTAGATTCGATATCTGAAACTCACTTATCGTATTTTATTTATATTTTGTTTCCAGTCTTCTCATCTGTGTATTTACTTAGTGACGTCATTTTAGTTTTTCGTCCTTCTTTTAACATGCTTTCTTCGATGAAAAAGACCCAATTTCTTAAATTACTGGTGATTTCCGTAATCCAAGTGTAGAACTTGGTCACTGTGGTAGGATTTAATTCCTTATTAAATTTGTTTATTTGATTTATAACACACTATTATTTGAGCATAAATTATTACTCATGATCGTGTCAATGTAATCACACTGCTTTCGACATCTTTTGATAGTCCTGTCACCTTTCACTCTTTGTTTCTGTTGGTAACAAGATTTTCCATATCTCTGGTATTAGGTGTTGCGTCATTTCTGTTACTTGGTTGGGTGTTGATTCGATGAGCAAAGATTCAGTAATCAATCTCTTCACCTAATTATATTGGACTTAAGTACACTAGTTTTATTCCACCCATCCTATTGTATGATTGTCTGTTACTGCATGCATTGCAGTAGCCGAGTTTTTTTCTAGATTATTGATTTTGTTAGGTTCTGTCTTTCTATATTCAGCTAAATCCCTATCTTCCCCTATTCAAACTTGAAACACCATCAAGTGAATAATACTGTTTCACTGTGTGTTATAAATCAAATAAATAAATCTAATATGGGACTGATGATTTCCCTTGTTATGAAATTTTATTTTCTGCCAGTTACTGTTTAAACTGAAAAGCCTTCTTCCTAATCTTAAGAAAAATGTCTTTATAATCTGATAATAGCATAGTTTTGCCGTCCTTATGGTGTTTTTTAATTCTCCTATATTTTTGGACTGAAAACAGTTAGTATGCAGTTGAAATTTGAATCTCACTTGTTTAAAAAAAGTACATTATAACGCCCCCATTATCGTACAGTTGTGCACAGAAAAGGCGAAATTGAAAATCCCAGCGTTTAGATAAAAAAGAAGTCAGATGAATTTTGTTAAGGGAAGTGCAAATAGACCTGTTGATGTAGTTGGCTACGATAGATTAGATTTCTGTTGAGTTATAGGTGTAGATACGGTTTTTGTTCAAACCTTGTCTTCTAATTTACTGTGTATGCTTTACTCTAAAGATTTTGGTGTTGTACTATGGGTTTTTAAGCTCCATCATTCACTATCCTATGTCTTGATAAGTGTCTCAGTAAAACCCTATGGTTATGCGCCGTACTCTTGATGTATGAATTGACTGTATGCTGCTTCATATACTATGTATTTTATTTTGCTCCATATAAGTGGACAGTATATAAATTCCGACTACTCAGTGCATAAGTATGGAAATATAGTTGATTACACTAAGCATTCAACTTTCAACCAGTAAGTCCTTGGTCGAAACCTCGTTCCATCTACTTCGGCCTGAGGAACCGAGTAGCATAAGCTTCCGCCCATTTAATGTGGTTCATAGCCTAGTACATAAACATCTTTATCGGGCTGAGTTTCACTACTTATTCGGTATACATAAATGCATTGTGACAGTAACATTTATTTTTCGATCAACGTTTCTTAGGAATCGTGAGAAATCGTAATGACACCTTGTACTTTTTTGGATACTCTATTAAAGCGGCATCTGAAAACAGTAGATTACCGTTAATATTTGTGTTTATTTACTGATTATTTTGGAAGTCGCCACAACCGACTTTCTTATTTTCCAGTTTTCCGACTTATACCAATATCACTACACCAGTTTGTCTGACATTGTATTAAGTGGTTTTTCTGTTTTCTCTATTACAACAGCTAACCTGGAGAAGTAACTATTTTCGTTGTGAATATTTCCCAAATATCCTCTCTCTGTCGTCATCATTTTGTAATGGTAAGAGAAATTCGTCATCCGATCAGGTGTTAGATGGTTCTAATAATAGCAATAATCAGGGCTTAAAGTCAGGCGCTTCATTTGATTTGAAAAACCATTCGCCACAAGTCAATCCTAAAGTGTCTCTACCTGAATTTACGCACATAATAAACAATGATGAAGTGCATCATAGACCAACATCAGCCCCACTTAGTCCAACTTTTGCTGTGTCCTACTTTTCTTCACCCGCACTGAATAAGGATAAGCCTCCGTTAAATATGACTGTTCAAAATTTACTACCTGATCAAACATTACTAAATGACGTTATTTCTTTGGATGAATTGCATAAAAAACCGTTATCTTCAACATTGGTGAGTTTTATTTTCTACCATTTCTTTTCACTAACGAACTTGTGTTTGTCGTTTGCAGATTTTACAGTCAAGGTTATAAGGTCATTATTTATGATTAAGTGGCAAGGTTGATTAGCAATACTGATAAAGGTACTTTTACAGCATTAGTACATCGTTTGTGTGTTGTAAAATCATATGACTAGAGTTCACGAAATGTTTGAAATTCGGAAAACGCTTTCAGACTAGCACTTGCATAGAAAAATATCTAATGACGTCTTCTAAACAATAGTTACTCATTTAGTGTTCCTTGAGTCAGGATTACGTTATCTTGGCAAGCCGAAAGGATTCAAAAACTAGTGCATGCATGACGGGATAATGATGCGCTACTCATAATATCATTTTGGTGTTTAGGATATGTTGATTTTCTTCGCATCGTCAGTGGATTTCATCAGTTCCAAACTTGTGTCTAGGCATTTAGTTTTCAACCAACGGGTTCATACCCTGCTTCACCTGCCGAAGCCTTCGCAGACACAGTATCATTATCTCGCACATAATAGTTGTGGACCACTGCCGAGTGCATCAGCCTCCACGTAGTCGTCGACGTCTATTCTTCTGCTTAAGTATGTAAATGTGTTGTCGTGAATCTAAATTGTGAATGGAGATACTCAAATAATGTTTGCACACTACTCTAGGTGATCAAACTGGACAATTAAGCTCATGACTTGATACGGTTGACTGACTGGTAGAATGATGACTGTTCATAAAGGTCAACTGAATAGATATCAAGAGATTGAACCAGTGGTCGACTGATGCATGCATATTTCTAATGATAGTTCAAATGTGAAAACACTAATGAAAGAAAACATATATAGAAAGATGTGATCTGCATCAAATAATTATAACCTGACTTTCAGACAGCGACAGTTCTATTAATAGTATTATAGTAATGACGTGGTATAAAAGGCAGTAGTTGATTGCAGAAAAAGGATCATTCATCTCACTTTTTCAGGTGATTAAGCAGCGAAAATACGTTTATATTAAGAAAGGAGATTGAATGATTTCACCGCAGTGTTCAGTCAGATTTTTTAAACGTAAATTACGTTACACCGTTCAGCAAACCCATATATTTAGTCACACATCGATCCGTTTATCCAAGGTTCTAAACTTTTCACTTTCGGGGCATTGTAGAATATGCAACAATTATGTTTACTTTCTGCTGTTCAAACTGTTCCAGAACCTAGTCAGCATTCTCAAGAGAACAGTTTTTGTAGATTCTCCTTTCCACTAAGCACTATTTTGGTGTATATCTCCTGTTTTTAGGTTACAAGTTGTCCCGTTTATCACTAAAGCGGTTTGCAGCTCAGAGATTGTATCTACAAAATTAAAATCACTTTCAACATATATTTTCTTTCCTTTGCCTCTTATCAACAAGGTGTAACACTGACCATGTAAAAGTTATTACCGAATAATTGTTTTTTCCAACTAAACAGCTTGTATTCTCGGACAGAAAAATACACTTCCGTAAGTTTTCTCAACTCTTCCTCAACAAATGAACAGTTGCTTGAGGTAAGCAGTCTCGACAGAAGCAAATTATTGCCAATTCCTGTACAATGCATCGAGATAAGGTACTAAGTAGATGGAAATGAAAAATTCCCTAAAAATTACTGTGGTTTTAATTGACACTCTTTGAAAGAGTACATAAGAGGAAAATCAACAGAAAAATAAGGAAATTTGAATAGCTAAACAAAGCATCAGCAAGTGCATGCTCCTTAGTAATTAATTTGAATTTGTTGCACGTCATATCCAGTAACTAATTCCTTGCCTAACCCAAACCTTCACTATGCGATTTTAGAGAATATTAATTCACTTCATGATATGGTTACTCTTAACATTCTTCTGAACTCACTGTGCTGGGGAATATAGAGAATTTCGACTGACCTGCCTTTCTTATCTATTACCTTACTACAAAACAACTCACTTGGTGGCGCTGTCACACATGAGAAGTACTACCGACATACTTGTGATCATAAACCTATGAATTTTTTTATATCTTCCGCCTTCAACGACCATACTTTACGGACATATGGTGTTATGGCAAAGGTTGCTGTATAGTATCATCGAGACAACATTTTGTAGCATCACTAAAAGAAACTCACTTATACTTCGGAAAACTATAAATTGTTTCGGGAATACCCATCATAATAGAATCATGTTTATTTTATGGCTGAAAAGTTGTGAGATTTATAAACAAAATAATTTTTCTCTCCTTTTTTCATTGTTTGGATGTGTATCGGATCATAACGTAACCAGCCTTATTCATATTTTGAAAAGTAGGTAAATTAGTTGGTTGCCATTGTGTTAAACGTCATCTGGTACTACCTTTCTCAGCCTAGACTGAATTAGAAGGGGCTTGGTTTGGACTTTGAATCTGTTGGTTGTGAGTCGAGTAATGAAACCGATGAGTTAGTTTTTTAAATTATAATAGTGGCTTTATTCTAAAAATTGCTTCGGGAATACTCTACAGAATTCTCAGCATATCATACAGCATGAATTGGACAGATAGTATATGGTCTTCGTTCGAATGCGAATGCCTTTGAACATCAATTTTTAACTAAGTGAAATATCTCGAAACATGATGTGATCACGCATCAGTTCATTTTAGCAGTTTTGGTACAAGGGAAATTCGCAGAAGAAATCATGGAAAATGTATTCAATAGTTGTGATACAAATCTAACGTCGTTGCTTTTTTAATCAGAAAATTAGAGGTTTTTCCGAATTCGTACTTGTTTTTCCCCGTGACTAACTTCATTTTATATACGATACTGTTTTTCATAACCTTATTAAAAAAAAACAAGAGCCTGCGTTTTGCGTTTAGTGATGAAGTCCTTCCTCTACTTAGTTTTGAATTTCACATTGAGGCGAAGATTTTTCGACACAGGTAACAGTTTGCTTCAACCCATAGATTTGAAGAACCAACATAGAAAGCAGCGTGTATTTAGATATTGCTCGTAAATCTCTAGTCTGATCACTTTTCTAAATATTTAACAGGGGATTATTGTTAAACGATTCAGTTGCATGAATAATTGAATAGAGAGATTCTCCTGATAAACGTCAGTAGATCAATGACAACAAACTCAGTAAAACATTGTGAGCTTTTTTTGGTAATAGGGATGCCTAATAATAAAGGAACGTATTTGCACTTTCCCACAGATTTTAAATAGTGCTTCTTGAGCTGTGTAATTGAAGTCTAAATTTTTCGTCATCCCGGGGAAAGAGTTTGGTTATACATTTGCTTAGGATTCACAGTTAGTGTCGTTTCAAACAATAAATCACTTATTTCCTGAGTTGGCTTTCTTTCGCTAAACTGATAACGCTCCTTTGAGCGTCACATCCGGCTTCAGCGTAGAAAGGAGGATTGCACAACACATTTCACCTATTTGTTTCACTTCATCAACCAATATACCACCCTCACCTAGTAGTTTATAAATGAACTTAGTGCTTTTCTTAGTTGGTTCTATCATATATAAGGTGCTTATAGTGTAACTCCCATTGTCTCTTACTATATGCCTACATTAATCAAAACAAGGTGTACAACTGAACTGCATACTTTGATATCTCGCAATATTCTTAAAGTGTGGTTTAAAATATTTAGCCTGAAACTTCTGTATATATGCCGAAACCTTATTAATCAGTCCACCAAGATATGTCGCTTTTTTAAATCCATGAAATAATCAACATGCCAAGCTACTTATCTTACTACTACCTAAGTAGTCTCTGGTGTAAACTGCTCGTTAACTATCAGTTACGTATATTTATTGCACACAAAACGCAGAAATGAATCCATGGACTTCTTTAGCTATGAATGGATTCCTGTCGTCGTGTGTGATTCTCATCTGGATGAATAATTTTTCCCAGAAATCAGCCTACATATTGCTGTGCAATAGAGTTTTGGCTGGAACCTTTTTTTAATACATGAATTCATGTTTTAGTATAATTGTTTTTATATCATACCGTCATTGATAGGACCGAATTGATCGGTCTCTACTGGCATATGGGCTCCTGTGCGGATGCCTCAATATTGCCAGCGTTCTAATTATGTTAATGATGAATCGTGGTGGGAACAACATCACTCACTGGGAAGCAGGTACATCCAGCTGACGAGTCCCGAATAGGACGAAATACGCATCCTGGATTCCACTGCTAGCTACGATCCATCATTAACATGAATTCATGTTAACTAGATTTTCTTAGAAGCGGAAAAATTCAGAGACATCATTTCCGACTACAGCTTATCTAATTCATATCTGAAATACATTGCTCAAATGCACGAATATATCTTTTTAACAAGAGAGCTACTAATTTTATGTAATGACAACTCGATAATTTTATACTACTAGTTGGAACTCTTTCTCATTCTTCAACCACTCTTAACTTTAGATGTGACTAAACTTGAAATCGAATTTTAGAAATACATAAAACGAGAACTTTGGTAGAATATTTTCTATATTTTGCACTATGATGAACTAGTAACAGGCAATCAATATTATGACGTTGTCTGCTTGTTAACCAATAATAACTATGTATGGCTCATAAAGTACTGTCATACACATGATCATGATACGCATGTTCTTGATTGGTATGCTATGAAAATCTTTATAATTACGTGTGAACAGCATCTTCGAAAATGATTTAAACGACTAAACAAAGATTCCCACTGAAAACGTTTATTATGCGATGACTTTTCATATTTTACTGACCGATATGACTTATTTTCAGAAGTGAGTTTAAATCTGTGTCATATTGTAATTATTAATATCCAAACAACTAATCAGCTGAAAAAAATTTATATGAATTCTTTCTACCAATTTTCGACCTATTAAAGATTACGTGTAGAATGTCATTGACAGCTCTGTCCCAAACACCTGAGTATTATGTTATCGGATGTTTATTATAGTATAGTGTTTTGCTAAGTACTAATATTACTCTGCCCGGTTGCTGTTAGTCACTCGGCGAGGTCTCCT